GTAGAAAATGAAAATTTTTACCAAATAGGCTCTAAGGACTTAGTCCATATATGTACAACTTTTGCATTGGGTTTGGGCACCACGTTGAAGCAGAATCAATCTAAATTCATAAGCTATCCAAAATTTTGTTTTGTGTTTGGCAATCATTAGTTAACTCATGTTTTATTATAGAAAAATAATTTCGACATTTTTTCTTGACACATAGACACGACAATGGCGAAAAGGTTTTGTGAACGTGAATTTCTTACTTTCTTCCAACAATTCTATTAGTTAACTCATGTTTTATTATAGAAAAATAATTTCGACATTTTTTCTTGACACATGGACACGACAATGGTGAAAAGGTTTTGTGAACGTGAATTTCTTACTTTCTTCCAACAATTCTATTATCAAACGAGGTAGGATGCTATGCGTAAGTTGTTATGTCCTTGCAATATCATGATCTTTTCTATGTAATTTATTTCATGAAATACTAATTGACCTCTAGGTCTTAACGAAATAAAATGAAATGTGAGATCTCCTTCGAGTTTTCTCAAATGTTGCACAGAATTGTGTTAGAGCATTCGATTGATCTTCGATTGCTCTTGATGAAATGATGGTATGGAATGTTATAAATTTATGTTTAAAAAGTTATTATATTATTTTCGACGCACGTATCCAACTGAGTTTAAATTAATCATTCTTTTATAATTTTAACATTTCAGGTTAGATTGGTCAATGTGGATGGTGGTTGGGCCGTGCGCATGTTGCCAAGTATAATTTTCAAAAAAATATTCAATAATAAATTATGTTACGATAGTTGTGTTTTCTTTACTTTTATTAAATNAATAATAAATTATGTTACGATAGTTGTGTTCTCTTTACTTTTATTAAATGTTCTAGATTTCGTGACTCTATGTTTGATTTAATATATAAATGTTCAAATAAATTAAAAGTTTAAATTTTCAATTAAATATTTTCGTTTCGAATATTATTATGAAATAATACTGATAACACCCTAAAATTTAAATCAATAAAATTTGGGGCGTTACAGTAACAAATAGGTTTATAAAATCATGAGATTATCTTATGGAAGTATAGAACGATTCAAAGCCCGTTTGGTAGCAAAAGGTTTTGATCAATGTGTGATGTTGACTACACAAACACATTTTCTCCTATGGTAAAACCTACTTCTATTCGCATTGTGTTAGCCTTAGCCGTTTCATTTAATTGGCATATTTGGCAATTAGACATTTCAAATGCTTTTCTGCATGGCTATCTTGATGAAGAAGTATATATGGAACAACCACAAGGTTTTGTAGATGAAACATATCGTGATTATGTGTGCAAACTTCACAAGTCACTCCATGGTCTTAAAGAAGCTCCAAGAGCTTGGTTTAGACGCCTGTCCCAACACCTGCTTGAGTATGGTTTTGTTGAATCAACCGCTGACTACTCACTTTTTGTCTACACTACCGAGACTGTGAAATTATTTGTGCTCATACATGTTGACGATATTATAGTCACTGGGTCAAGCACACGGGCAATTGACTTTTATTCAATCTCTATTGACTAACTTCATAGTTAAAGATCTTGGAGATCTGAGTTTCTCTCTAGGTGTTCAAGCATCAAGAGATTCTCAAGGTCTACATATTTGCCAAACTCGATACATCACAGATTTACTACATAGTACCAGAATGGCTGTAGCAAAGCCACTTAGGTGTCCAACTATTTCTGGCCCAAAGATGTCATCTACTGAAGGTCCCTTACTATCTAATCCAACATAGTATAGAATAGTGGTTGGGGCACTTCAATATTGTACTTTCTCTAGACCGGATATTACATATGCAGTGAATCAATTGTGCCAATTCATGCATTCTCCACGTGAACTTCATTGGGCTGCAGTAGAGAGAGTACTTGGGTACTAAAGGGTAGCATTGATACATGTCTATTGTTCACTCCAGGATCTATTACACTTCAAGCTTTTTGTGATTCAGATGGGGCTAGAAATCCCGATGATCATCGTAGTACCACTGGATATGCAGTTTTTCTTGGAAAAAAATTGATATCATGATCTGCCAAGAAACAACCAATTGTCTCCAAGAATAGCACTGAAGCTAAATATAGAAACATGGCCATCACCACCGCTGAACTCTATTGGATAAGAATGCTTCTCAAGGAACCTGGTGTCTTCCTACCATACACTCCTACACTATGGTGTCTTCCTACCATACACTCCTACATTATTGTAGAATGAGAATGAAAAATATAGTCATTATTGAACTCCACACAATAGATAGAAATTCAAAATTGATAACGATAATATTTTTCATTTTCATGAATGAAAAATGAGAAACAAATGGGGGCTAAAAACTTTGATGAAAAGACCATGATGCCTCTAACTTGTTGCAAATATTCATAAGCTGGACAATTTTGACATTTCAAAATAGAAAAAGACAGCTGTCATTTTTTATTTTTTTTTTAAATATTGCAACTGGATTCTTGTTAACCGAATTGTTGCAACATTTATATTTTTTATTAAAATGTAGAATTAATGGCTCCCAAACAACCACCATAATTCACGTAGCAATGCCCACCTCTACTTCTCTCGAACATGGACCTCTTTCTTTTCTTAGCAATTAAATCTTTCAAAAAAAACCCTACAAGAAAGATAAGCCCTTTACTCTAAATTGCAATATCGCCAAGTGATTATATCTCACCGGGCATTGTCAAGTACCGATCATATAATCCTATAACCTCGCTACTCTTATGTTTAAGCATTTAAATAAAACAATTTCACCATAAACTTAAAAGTTTAAAAAACATGAGCAAAAGCCATTTTAGTGACATCTCATATCGGGTAGCTTTGGTGTGTCCATTCTAAAAATAGAAAATTCCCTAATATTATTTGGAAAATCTGAAATTTGTGTCAAATTCTAGTCAACTCCTTAAGGTTACTTCATATTAATGTTCATTAAGCTCAAACGAACGATTCGATGCAATTAAGATTAAAAACGAGTAAACAAATTTCAATATTGATATGCTCGAAACCCGAATCTTAACACTTAGGGTCCGTTTGATTGCAAGGGTGGAAAATGTGTGGAAAGAAAATATTTTACAGGGAAAAGATTTGCTTAGAAAATATTTTGCAGGGAAAATGATTTCAAGTGTGTTTGATTGGTATAATTTTTCACCCGAAAAATTTTTAAATTTTCTATTCGTTTGACTTT